CGTCCCCTGGCACGTCGTTTGGCGCGTCCCTTGGGACGTTCCGCGGTGCGTCCCCATGGCACGTCCCCTGGCACGTCCCCTGGCCTGTCCCCCTGTCAATTAGCTCTGGGGCAGTTCCTATGTGCTCAGGCAGTTCGGTCAGCATGGCACATCGAAATTCAGCACGGCGCAGCACAGCACAGCTCTTGGCACGGTACATCTACATCAAGATCGTTACACTCAGCATTACAATTGCCCGTCGCCCAATCAGGTGTCTTGAAAACGCTGCCATGCCTTACATGTCCATATTTCTTTCCGGGTTCGTGGGTCGATAATGTTTTCCCGGAAAGGGTTTAGGCCCAGGGTTCTCTTTTAGTTTTGTTTCCCCCCGGTTTTGACGGCTGTAGGGCCGGCGAATTTCTTTTGCGATAAATAACGAGGTCGCGTATGGCCGGCTAGTTTAAATGTGAGCATGTCTCGAGCGCAACGCTTAGTGTTCAGAATTTGTTGAAGATGTCTCGAGCGAAACGCTGATTTTGCAGAGTTGAGGGGATGTCTCGAGCGGGGTCTCGTGGGGAATTCAGAGGATGTCTCGGGCGAAATGCTTGTTTTCACGTGCCCAGGTCGGCCAGGGGGGTATCCAACATGGTTGTCCGTCGCTGGCGCCTCAGACGACCGCATGTTGGATATCCCCCCTGGGTAGGCTGGAACCGTTAGTTTTTACTTGTGCAGGCCATCAGGGGGGTATCTAACGTGGTGGTCCCGAGCTGGAATCACGTGTTTTCACGTGTCCGGCCCACCCAGGGGTGTATCTAACATGGTGGTCCCAAGCTGGAACCACGTGTTTTTACATGTTCAGGCCACCCAGGGGGGGAATCTAACTGTGGTCCTGTGTCCAGGCCACCCAGGGAGGCATATAACATGATTGTCCCGAACTGGAACCACGTGTTTTTGCGTGTCCAGGCCGCCCAGGGGGGATATCCAACATGGCGTCGGGCCCAACGCCGAATTATCAGAGAACGCACGGGGGGGCCAAAAAGCTTTACCCGTACACATATCCCAGTGATGGTTTCTTGCTCTGGACAGGGGGTGGCACTTTGGGGGCCTCTCCAGGGAAGACATTGCGAACATGTCTCGAGCGGGAGCGCGAATTCAGCATATCCAGGTCACGCAGGGGAGTATCTAACATGGTGGTCCCGAGCTGGAACCACGTGATTTTATATGTCCAGGCCACCCAGGGGGGTATCTAACATGGTGGTCCCGAGCAAGGACCACGTGTTTTAACGTGTCCAGGCCACTCAGGGGTGTATGTAACATGGTTGCCCCGAGCTGGCACCACGTGTTTTTGCTTGTCCAGGCCAGCAAGGGGGGCATCTAACATGGTTGCCCCGAGCAAGGACCAGGTGTTTTAAGATGTCCAGGCCACCAAGGGGTGTATCTAACATGGTTGCCCAGAGCTGGCACCCACGTGTTGTACGTGTCCAGGCCGCCCAGAGGGGTATCTAACATGGTTGCCCCGAGCTGACACCCCGTGTTTTAGCGTGCCCAGGCCACCCAGGGGCGTATCTAACATGGTTGCCCAGAGTTGGCACTATGTGTTTTTTCGTGTCCAGGCCACCCAGTCGGGTATCTAACATGATTGTCCCGAATTGGAATCACGTGTTTTCACGTGTCCAGGCCGCCCAGGGGGGTATCCAACATGGCGTCGGGCTCAACGCCGAATTATGAGGAAACGCACGGGGGGCCGAAAAGCGCTACCCGAACACATGTCCCAATACAGAAAAGTTATGTTTTATTGCTCTGAACAGGGGGTTGCGCTTTGGGGGCCTCTCCAGGGAAGACATTGCGAACATGTCTCGAGCGGGAGCGCGAATTCAGCGTATCCAGGTCACGCAGGGGAGTATCTAACATGGTTGTCCCGAGCTGGAACCACGTGTTGTTTCATGCCCCCCGAGCTGGAGCCACGTGTATTTACGTGTCCAGGCCACCCAAGGGGGTATCTAACATGGTTGTCCTGAGTTGGCACCACGTGTTTATACTTGTCCCGGCCACCAAGGGGGGGTATCTAACATGGTTGCCCCGAGCTGGCACCACGTGTTTTTACGTGTCCGGGCCACCAGCAGCACGACGCTTGTCCCCAGCACGTTCCGTAGCGCGTCCCCTTGGCACGTCCCGCGGTGCGTCCCCGTGACACGTCCTCAGGCACGTCGCTTGGCGCGTCCCTTGGGACGTTCCGCGGCGCGTCCTCCTGTCATGCTCCCTTGTCAATTAGCTCTGGGGCAGCTGCAAAGGAGTACTCGATCCACAACGCTATAGAGCACAATCGCGGCATGGCACATCGCAGTTCAGCACGGCGCAGCACAGCACAGAATTCGACACGGTGCATCAAGGTCGATACATTCAGCATTGAATTTGCCCGTCGCCCAATCAGGTGTCTTTGAAACGTTGCCATGTCTTACATTTCTATATTCTTGTCCGGGTTCGTGGGTCGATCATGTTTTTCCTTCCGTTCTCTTCGTCGTCCTTGTGATGATCGTCCCCATCGTCGCCGTCAACATCATCATCATCGGCGTCGTCACTCTGCGTTGCCGCGTGACGAGTCAAGTAGGACGGTATTGCTAACTCCGCCTCCCTGTGTCGCCATGTGACTTGGTCGTCCTTGTTGTCCTTGTCGTCGTCGTCACCGTCGCTGTCGTTGTCGTCGTCGCAGTTGTCGTCCATGTCGTCCTTTCAGTACCCTTCGTCGTCTTCGCCATCGTCCTCGTGGTGATCGTCTCCGCCGTCGCCGCCACGTCAACACAATCCTCGTCGCCACTCTGCGTTGACACCCGACGAGTAGAGCAGATTTGAGATGTGAGATGTGGTATTATATTCAAGACGCTTCGCGGTCACCGCCCGCCCATGTCAGGTCTCGCCGGACGAGGCAAAGACAGCTCCAAGACGGGATAAAGATAGCCCAACGTAATTTTAGACCCAGAGGCGAAGATGGCGCCAAGACGGGCTGGTAATATCCCGAAAACGGTGAGTGACTCCCGCACAGGTATGTTTTGTATTTTGTCATGCCTTCAATTCCTTCTCCATCCCATCGTCGGTGGGACTCAGGTATGCCGTCTGGCTGGCCGATGTTCTATTTGTCGATTTGTCGTCGGCCCGCTATCATCACCAACGGAGCAGTGATACGGACGCTGGCCGTCGTGACCTTCGCTCCTTGACCACAGCAGGAGGCCAGAGATAGCCAGAACGCTGCCCAAGACCAGCCAAAGACGCCCCGCAAATGGCGCCAAAGGTGCCAACAAGGGCCGAAGAGGGCCCAGATAAGGGCCCCAAAGGGGCCCAAAGACGGGCCCGAGGCGGCCCAGGCGGGCTTCCGGACGGCCCAAGCGCGAGCATCCTCGCATTGGACCGCAGCCCCGTCCGTCTTCCCGTGAAAACCTGGCCGATTCTGGGCCGTTGGGCCTCGTTTTGGGGCTCAAGTTGGGCCCCAAATGGTTCAAAATTGAGCCCAGAGCGTGTCCAAAAACGGGGTCGAAGTTTACACGCTGAAAAATGCCCCAGGCGAGCCTGGAAGTCAGCCAGAGGGGGCGTCCGGGCGACCCTTGGCGAGGCCAGAATCATGAAAAACTATTGGTTTTGCGTATGTTTGTAAAGTTTCCAGTCTGTTCGCGTTGTTGAGCCCAAGAGGCGTTCTTGAGGGCCCCAGGAGTCGATTTCAGAGGCCAAGAGGGGCTCCCGACGGGGTCAAAATCGAGCCGAAATGCAATTTTGAAAAAAAAGGTAAGCATTGGCTCCCCTCCCCAGAGGGAGGGAGGCGTCGGGAGCTAGCCTTCCTTCTCCCCCAGTGTCGATCTGCGCCAACTCTCGTCATCATCTGCCCAGTCGTCGTCGTCGTCGTCGTCGTCGTCGTCGTCGTCGTCGTCGTCGTCGTCGTCGTCGTCGTCGTCGTCGTCACAGTCGTCACTGTCGTCACTGTCGTCGTCGTTGTCGCCGTTGCCGCGACCGCCGTCGTTGTCGACGTCATCGTCGTCTTCGTCGTTGTCGTCGTCGTGGTCGTAAGGAATCCCTCCCACCATTTGCCGCACGTGGCGAAGAGAGAATACGTATCGTTTGCTGAGGCCTTCAAGCAACGCAATATGACGGGTAGAGCATGGTACTATGTGGTTTCCCCCCCGCCTGCTCTGTCGCATGACGAGTCATGACGAGTAGACTACAATCGTATTTGTTCCCGCCCCGCCGGCATTGCCATGCGGTCAGTATATCATAAGCTTCGCGTCATAGTTTTGCCACCTGACGGGTAGAGTACAAAACAAATTTGTTTCCGCCCCTTCTGCGTGGCCACGCGGCATCATCGTCGTCCTCGTCGTGGTCGTCGCCACCTCTGCCGCCGTCGTTGTCGTCGTCGTCTCCTTCGTTGTCCCCGTCTGATTCGGCATCTTCGCCGCCGTTGTCGGAGCGTGCGCGGACGAGGGGTGGGCCATGGCGCGTGTTGAAAGAAGAGGAGGCGGCCATGCAACCTGAGAGGATTCGTGCCCCTGGCCTCGTTGTCCACGCCCCGCCAGCCCTCACATCCCACACTCGGACGCCCCCGACAAGTTGGGCCAGGGCAGACGGGGCTGGAGGAGCGCGCCAGCGAAGGCGACGTCGACGGCGGCGACAACGCTGGCGGCGGCGAGGGCGACGGCGACCAGGAGGAGGAGGAGGAGGAGGAGGAGGAGGAGGAGGAGGAGGAGGAGGAGGAGGAGGAGGGCGACCAGGAGGAGGAGGAGGAGGAGGAGGAGGAGGAGGAGGAGGAGGAGGAGGAGGAGAGTGAGAAGGGGGAGGAACGGGCGGGGAGGGCGCTGACGTTGTCTGGGCTGTCTGCTGAAGCAGACTCGCGCAGCGCAAGAAGAGGAGAAGAGTTGCTCAGGCGATCGCGGCCCCGCGAAGGTACACGCCTGGAGTCCGGCCTTGGTGTGATAACAGTAAGCACTGTCCTGCGGCATGCAGGACAGACTCTGCTCCTACTCCTCCTCGTCCTCCCCCAG